CTGTGCAGTGATATTAGCACTGCGAATAACCTGCTTATTATTACCGTTATAAACTCTTTATACCTTAAAAGATTAAACACTATATTTGCAAACAATAAACAAACATATTCTATAGTTGCCCAAAAGTCAATATAAACCAGGCTATTTACATTTAGCAATATAATGATTAAGAACGAGGTTATGTTGAAATCATCAACTGTGAAACTTCTTGTAACATCAGGTTAAAAGTACGTCTCGGAGCTACATGTGCTACGAAATAAAACAGATGTAGTAAGACCCACCACCTCTTTACACTACAAGTGGAATTGCGGCTCCCATTACAACTGGCGGGAAAGTTTGCTTTCTCTTGATGTGTCTCAGTGTGTTTCCTGTTTTATTTTGACAATCTCAAGTTCTGTGTTCAGTGTGTGCAGTTCTGCTTCCTCCTGTCAGATCACACCTAATTCGTTCCTGCTGTGTTCCCCATGTTTTCCACTAGAACAAGTGGGCTGTTTTCCGTTATTTTGCAAATGTACTGTTTATAAGGTTGGTGAAACCTGCAGTCAGCTGAGACTGAAGAAGTCACTTGGATGAGTGACAAAACGTTTCTCCCACTGAAAACGCAAAGTCCAGATAAACAGAATCAATTTTTTTATATTATGTAACCCTTTTGTTTCATTTTCCCTTTATTACCAGATGTATTGCCATACATGCCAATGTTTTGGTTCAGATTGTTTTCTCAGACTTAGTCTCAGTCTGGAGCCCCAAAAGGTTTATTCTGTTCACCTGGATGTAATGTTTTCAGTGGGACAAACGTTTTGTCACTCATCCAAGTGACTTCTTTAATCTGAGCTGACTGCAGGTTTCCCCAACCTTATATACAGTTCAATGCATAATGACTGAAACTAGCACATCTAAACAATAGGCTGTGTGGAGTTTCTCACTGAAAACATTACGTCCAGATGAACAGAATCAACCTTTTGGGATTTACTTACCTGGATGATTGATCATGCATCAAGACATCTCAGTCTGGAGCTTACGTGTACCGTTACACCAATAAATGCAAAACCACCGTAATCTTTGGAACAGGATTTTGACTTTCCTACTGTAAAGAAAAAAAAGTAGTAGTTATTTATGCAGAGCAGATATAGTCATGTGAGAAAATTAAGAATTCTTCTTCAAAGTATTCCTCTTAAGTTATTTGATTCCTACTCATGGCTAAGCAGATGCTACAAGTGTGAACTGTTTTGCACTGTGTCATTTATACAGGATTTTGGCTTTTTATTTACATGTCTAAATTCTTTCAGTTTCCTCAGGTTGTGTTTAGGTAATTTAAGAACCTTGTACAGACCAGTTGGTTTCTTTTTAAAAAATATTACTTTGATATATAAATCCATAGAACTGGAAGTGCATTATCGTTTTCATTTTATTATGGAATAAAAGGAAACAAGATTATTTCTCTAGAAACGATTACTCAGACAATATAAAGGCATGTTTTCACATTAAAAGATAAAATTCTCATTTCAGTGTGGAGCCTCAAGGAGTCCAGTGGATGAGACCAGGTCTAAGGAAATGTGAGTATTTTTGATGTATCAGTTCTATTTACACCATGTTGTACTGTGTTCACATTTTTTTACACTTTAGTTGTACCTCTGCCAAATATATGTAATCATGAATTTTGCAAAAAAGTTACATAGCTTCTTACTTACTTACTAACTAAAAACCAATTTCTGATGGTAACACACTCAAAAAAAAAATCAAAAACTTTTGCATACTGGATCTTCTTCATAAATTAACATGAAAACCATGCAAATAAAATTAAAAGTGTTTATTACAGACCATTTGCACTGTGGCTCACTGTCCACTTTAGATTTCTGTGACCTGACGCTGGATCCAAACACAGCACACAGGAACCTCAAACTGTCTGACAACAACAAGAAGGTCACACACGTGAAAGAAGACCAGCTGTATCCTGATCATGATCATAGGTTTGATCACTGGGCTCAGCTGCTCTGTACCAACAGTCTGACTGGTCGCTGTTACTGGGAGGTCGAGTGGAGAGGAGAAGTTCAAATTGGTGTAGCTTGTGAAGGAATTGGACGGAAAGGAGACGGCGATGACAGCAGGTTTGGAAGGACGGATCAGTCCTGGAGTCTCTACTGCAGTAATGATGATGGTTACTTTGGAAATTCCAATTACACATCAATAGTGATCGCTGTCCCCTCCTCGATTGTCTCTCACAAATTAGCGGTGTATGTGGACTACCCTGCAGGCACTGTGTCCTTTTACAGTGTCCTCTCTGACACACTAATCCACCTGCACACTTTCAACACCAAATTCACTGAAGCACTATATGCTGGGTTTCAATTAAAGTCACCTGGCTCCAGTGTCTCTCTCTGTGACGACTCAGACTAGTGAACTTACTGCGACAAGACACATTCTCACATTGGTGTGGAGCACCCAAATTTAGTAATACATGTACAATGACAATAAAGAGCTATTCTACTCTTTTGAGCTTCATTTGTGTACCAAAAATGCTTCTAGATAAATGATGACTTTGTGTTTTGTTTAGTTTTTTTTTTAACTTTCATCTACTGAAACTACTTGACCTGTTAAAGGTTAAGTTTATCTTTGGGATGGCGAGTGAAATGCATCTCTGGATCCTCCAGTATGGTGATGCTAGAGCAACCAGGAGCTTTTTGTTTTGTTTTGTTTTTTTAATAATAGGCAGTGAAGTCTCAGAGCATTCTCATTCCCAACACACAAGATACCGATGATTTGTCACATAGCATTGATATGTTACGTGTTGTATAAATGTGTCAATTTGTATTTTATACTATTTTTTATCGCAAGAATAAAATCTGTGACAGAGTTTCTATTTGTGTGTTTTATCTGTGAACATGCATGCAAACTGATATTTAAAAAAAGAAATGAAGAAAATCAAACTATTCCTTATTTATGTTTTTACGGATGCTTGTTATTATACTTAAAACCTTTAGAGTACATTTTCTAACCTTTAACCAAAAAGTAAAATTATGGAGGACATTTTCACATGATGGCCTTGATTTACCAACAATAAACTTTTAATTTATCTAAATAAAGCAAACCCTCACATATTCATGGAAATGAAAAACTAGAAAACAGCTGTCAGTTTAGAAAAAAGAGAGAAACTACTTGTTCCTCTGTTGCCGGAAGAGGTCACGACAGTGGGTGGTTCAATATGTTTGACTTTGCTGAGTTTTACACATGATGCCCTCCCGGACCTAAAATCAAAAACAGTTTCGCACTAATGGTAAATGGACTGATTGTTACACAGCACTTTGCTACGACCCCAAAGCGCTTTAAACAACATGTCCCATTCAACCAAACACTTTTCTTCTATGCTTTTATCTAACCCCTAACACGGAAGCATTGGAGAGCAACTTGGGGTTAGTATCTTGCACAAGGATATTTGGCATGCAGACTCGTGTAATCAGGGATCAGACCACCAACCTTCCAGTCAGTAGACTGGCTCTACCTCCTGAGTTACAGCCACCACTGAAGCCTAGCCTAAAAACCTGTTTTAGAAGAAGCTGGTCAGGATAGTATGGATTTGTTGGCATCTTCACTTAAAAAAAGGTTGGTTTTATAAATGTAAATGTAGAGGAGTGGAGGCTGATGTAAAAGTACACTGTGATACAGCTCTGAGGAATTTTAAAAGCAACTTATGTATAACAGTAGCAGCAATCTGCAATGTGCACCTACTTTCTATATGTACATAACTGGCCTATTATTTACAAAACAGATTGAGGGAAAGTGCTATAAACAAACTCAAAGGAGCTAGTATTGTTATCTTATCTGTAACTTTGAGGTCACATGATTTGACCTATGACCTATTTTTTCTCTTAAGGATAGCGATGCAGTGATATGTGCCTGTGTCGTTGAGTCTCAGATGA